CAAATGTTTCCTAAGCTTAGAAACTACAAAAAAATTATAAAAAATATATGAATTTTAATAATAGGCAGTGCGTAAGCCTAGTGGTAACGCGTTTGATTGGGAAACCGAGTGAAGTCTCGAACCTCTAATATTCTTATGTTCTAATCATTTCCAACATAATTAGCTTGTCTTGTAAAACTTGTCTTATGGTGAAGGAAAACATCGGGAGGAAACCTGTATGTCTGAGAGAACATAGCAAGTTTTCGAAAGATATGTTAAGTCCGCCAACCTGCTCTTAGCTAGCGTGGTGGACTATGGCCTGATCCCCCTTGTATTGAAGAGAGGCCCGTGCCTAGCAGTGGGATGTTGAAAAGAGCTGCATACATACTATATGAATTTTCAGCTGAATAATAGGTTTTTACTAGGTATTACTGCTATCATATTACCAATTTCATTATATTATTTGAACTGTAGCATGGCTAGTCATTAAGATTTGTCAAGTACAACAAACAGTCTCGCTGTAAGAATGATATTAGTAAACACTTTATTAATGACAATTTCTTAATGACCCTGACAACATACATCTAATCCACATACCTACAAACTTTAAAGTAAAAGAGCTGTCGATCGCTACATCTCCAAACGTATGAAAAATAGCCTTGAAATATAGTGTTCTATTTGTTCTTTCCATGGGGACGATATAGCATTAGTTACCATAACTCAATAGTAAAATTAACATTTGACGCCAGAGATAATTTTGTTTGTGAATGTTATTATATATATCATATTAATTAACACATCTGTAGTTGCTGAAATTGCATTATCTTATTAATTTCCTCTGGCTAATAAATCATTAATAATAGTTAGTTCATTATTTAATAACGTTGGGATACCAGCTTATATATTATGCATATGTTATATTATGTAATGAATGGCTAAAGTTGTATATGTTGGCGTATTGTACTGCAGATCATAGGTTCGATGCTGTTGAGAGGTCCTTTTCATATTTGACATTATAGGTTTACTCTTGTGTAAGTCTAGAAACGTTCAAAGTGTATCCGTAGTACAAGATAAACATACAAAATACTTTCAATGATTTCAAACTAAAATGATTAAATCTACATACAAAACATTACATTTTGTAAATTCGTTTAAAAATAGTATCAGAAACGTTAAAATAATCATTATTCATGTTAACCTTAGTGGGTGCTAAAACCCCATTTGTTTTTGCTCGTACACATCCATTTACGTCAGTTAGCGTTTTTGCGATCTTTCCTCCTAGTAAAGGTGAAAAATATATTATGGCAATACTACATATTGGGTATCTCAGATGTTTCAGTTACTGAAACATAATTTGAAAAAAATCGCCAAGCAACGCCTGGACAGGTCGCTAGGTGATATAGACCATACAAACACTTATATCGGCTCTCTTATATGTATATATTAAGAAAATTTTGAGGAGTACTATATATCATCTTATTACCCAAGTATACTAATAATTATTAGCAATTAATGTTTTGTTTATTTGAGTGCAAGAATGATAAGCTTTTTTAATTCACTTATTGTAACCGTTAAACATTTCTCGATTTCCCACTGCTATTAATGTTACAGTAGCGGTCTGTAACACAAGTCTTTATTAACAGGGGTTTTTTAATATCATTACGTTAAAAATAGTTTCCTTGACAATCTTTAGAAGATTTCGTTCTTAGATATGTCATCGTATAAATCGTCGCTTTTGAAATAAATAAGAATATATTTTCTTTATATTGTAGGTACAAACATTTATAAAGGCTGTAGATTAAACATGTAATATGAAGTCAAAACGTTATCGACTTACAAAAATGAAAGAGCATTTAATAAACTTTTGTTTCAATTTCAAATTATATTTACATGGGATAAAGGTTTTTAAATTGCATGTGAAAGGCTGTGGTCTATGCAAAGTAAATATTTAAAAGGCCCATGAAATTTTACATTTAGGCAAATGGTAAAAAATACTGTTTATAAAATAACGGATTCATACAATACTATTATTCTTAAAAACGAACAATTGACTTTTTGGTTTTCTGTAGGTACGTGAGTAAATGCTAGGTGAACAAAGTACTTTATTTGAGTTAATATATTTATAGTTTTTACATTCAAAAAATTTCAATTTTATTGTTATAGGTACTATCGATTTATTCTACGGTTATCGGCTTCGCTCGAACGTATGTTTAGGTGTCTCATTAACATACAAATTTTCACATTTATCATAGAAATATATATTCCTATTCAGCCCTTTTTAACGTCCCACTGGCACAGACCTCTCTTCAATAGGAGGGGAATCAGGCCATAATCTACCAATGATGACCAAATGCGGGCTCGCAGCCTTCACTTGTCTTTCGAAAACTTGATAGGTTCTCTCAGATATGCAGGTTTCCTCACGTTGTTTTCTTTCACCGTAAGACAAGTGATAATAATGTTGGTAATGATTCGTGAAATTATCAGAAGTGGTATTTGAACCCGCTTCACTCGGTTTCCCAAGCGAGCGCTTTACCACTGGGCTAACGCTGAAGTAATATAACAATGTGAATAAGAGAAAAGTATGTTATGAGATTTAGAACTACGAATGAAATAATAATTAATTAATTAGATAATGAAACAAAGTCCCATTCAAACCGACTTGAATAGCGATTTGCGATACGCTTTATTTTATCTCCTCTATTATTAGACGCTGGATTTTAGTGCTTTGTTTAATCGTATTTATTTTATCTTTATTAAGAAGTTAGCAGTGGTTGGTAAGTTTTGATAAATAAATTATATAAGCTCGAGGCTAAATTGAAATTTAATCATTAAGTTATACCTACTGTAATTTATAAATGAAATTCTCAACAATCGGACTTATGTAAGAGATGTTTGGAAACTTTATACAACCTGGGTACCGCTCGTTTTTGCTATAAACCTACCACACCAATCTTATGAGATGACTAGCGATTTTATTAGAAGTGTAAAGAAGCAACTGTGATAGAGGTAGACGGAAACGAGTGTAGTTATACTAACGATAATAAAAGATAACAGGCATTTTGGCGTACGATTACTCGATTAAGTGCTTCACACGTGCCAGTGTAATCGTTAAATGACAATTAATTTGCGTAGGCAGTTTTTTTTTAATTTTTAATTTATAATTATTATCGAGTATATACAAATAACCATCGAAAACATTAAAAAACTATACAAGTAGTATGTAAAACCTTGTAAAACCTTATATCTATATGAATGCGAATAATAATATTCGTACATACCTGTTAACTACAATTAGTAAATAAAACAAATAATCTAATCCCAATTTCTTTTCTTAAATCAACAGCAGGCACATGTAATGAAGAGAAAATGCAATCGTTATACTCAACGACCATAATCAATCTTAAAGTGTTTCCATTCAGACTCAATACTTTACCACAACCTATTTTACTTGAACAACTATGTCATTTTTAATTAAATCAAAATATTTTAACTTATTGTATTTTAGAAAGTTGCCGTCTTAATACGTCTACATACTTAAAAAAGAGTGAAGATATGTCCGTAATTAAGTCGAATTCAGACACATTGAGAATGCTCCTTTTTGTTTGTGTCTCTACTGAGGACGTCTCATACAGATAGAACCCTCTTTATTGTCTTTAGTAATTGAAAGGTCGGAGGTATTTCCCCTGAAACATTTAAATGTCACAGCTGGCCGTTTTTACTCTAAAGTTACATATTTTTAGCTTCTTCGTTCTTAAAAATGGAAAAAATATATTTAATTGAATTTCTTGTTTTTTATATTTTGGTCAATTTTTTTTCATGGCCAAAGGTCATATTTGAGTCACAGTGACTTTAGTTTGATTAAAGTAAAGCGGTAGAAATATATTGGTTAATTTAAAGTTATAATTTAAATCGTAACTATTATAGGTACCTACTAACTTTCATTAACTAACTTTAATTAATTAATTATATATTAATTAATATTATTTTACAAATAATAATCTATATTATCACTGAGTAATTATTGAAGACATTTGTATCCTCACTACGTGGTAAATGCGTACTATTACGTTGCTATATGCTGCTATTTTATAGTTTATTATATTTCAAATAACTATACCCAGAAAAGTTACTTTATTTGGTATAAAATCATAAAAAATAATTAAAGTTCAATGACATAACAGTCTTACAAGGTCTACTATGTAATAAGAAGTAATGAGAAAAGTCTCACGGCATTTCAACACGAAAGGTCCTTTTAAGATAAAATATATACTCACTTAACAAGATGCCACGCCACGTACAGTCAGTTTCTTTTATTACATTAATTACTTGGGTCGTATATTCAAATCTAAAACATATACCTATGTACGTAAAGTTAAAAAGTAAAAGCGTAGCCTTTGCTAGCTATATTTTAAATCTATACATATAATAAAATTGTAACTAAGTCGAATCTGTACATAAAATTTTTTTTGGAAAATCTAATTGAAATAGACATTATTATCGATACAGAGTCCGAATCTGTAGTTTTTAGAATTTTTGTCTATCTGTCTGTTTGTCTGTTACCGCATCACGAGAAAACCACTGGACAGATTTTGATGAAATTTGGTATGATGATAGCTGGTTATCCAGGTCAACATATAGGATACTTTTTACCGCGGGAAAATATCTCATTTCTGAGAAAAAATACAAAAACTGCATTGTAAGAGTATACTAATATGCAAAACCTAAGAATTTGGTTTTTGGTCCGCGGCTGCGGGCAATGCTAGTTGAATAATAAAAAAGAAAATATTACCCTCCGGCATTGAACTTTTTACCCATATTTATTAAGGATAGACTATCTAACATCGCAAACAACTCTTAGGGACAGAGAAATTATACATAAACTACGCGAGTGAAGCCGCGGGCAAAAGCTATATAAATATATTTATGTATGTATTCCATGTTTATCAAGGCTGATGTTGTCATATAATAAAATAACATTTACGTTTAATTATAATATTCGATAACCTCTGTTTTCTTTACAGCGAGTGATCTTGAGTCTATACGAGCGTTGTTCAATGAAAAGGAAAAGGAGCTATCGGTCGCTGTTGCGAAGGTGGAAGAGTTGACTCGTCAGCTCGAGGAGTTAAGGCGGGGGAGAGTCCAGCCGGCACCACCTTCTGCTCATGAGCTGGACAAATTGCGTCGGGAGCTTATGGTAAGAGTCAGTTATTTGCACGTTTCTTTTACAGTAGTTACTGCCGACTACTGGTCAATTTTCATTAAACAAATCTATTATTAAGTTTAATATTAAATAATAAGCTGTCTTTTCACTCTGTTTTAAAACAAAAGCTTTTCTAAGTTGAATTCGTGATATAAGTTAGAACTACCACAAATTGTAAATATTTAGTTTCCGTTAATAAATAGCTGAATTCATATTAAATAGAAAGTCTACGGGGCACTTAGCTTAGACTTAGGTATATATACATAACATGTACAATGTACATACATACTTTCTTACAAAGAGAACGCATTGAACATGGAAGTCGTGTTGTATTGACCAATTAGAATGAGAGTTATTACGTGTAGGTATAAAATAAAAGAACCGATTGAAATTATTTTCAAACACTATTTTCTTCTTCTTGAACTGGCTTTTTATAGTTATATTTATATTAGCCACTCACCCTCGCTTCGCTCGGATTCGTCCCTAGGTTGCTTCCCCATACAAACTTTCAGCCCTATTTTCACACCCTTAAGGGATGATTTCTGGGATAAAAACTATCCTATGTCCTTTCCAGGGTTTCAAACTATCTTTTTACCAAATTTAATCTAAATCGGTTCAGTAGTTTCGGAGTCTATTCGATACAAACAAATAAATTTTTCTTCTTTATAATATTAAAATATTATAAAAATAGCCCATAAGTATATTCAGGATATAAGCTATTTGTATTTCGAATATCACTCAAATCTAACGAGCCGTTAAAAACTGAAGCAAGTAACAAATACACTCTCTCACTTATTTCTGTGTAATGGATAAAAGTCTAACGTCACCTACATTCCTTCTTATACTTATAAAAGGTGCAATTTTTGTAGACTAGAGTTTGTGTAATGTACTCGTAGATATGAAAACATAGACAGTATTATTGTTAGAAACTTCAATGGGTGTACTAAAATATATCATGAATATAAAAATAACTATGGTTCAAGAAGTGTACTTCCATAGAACAATTGAAGAAGATTAAAATTAAATTGCTCCGGGTGATATTATCCATTAGGATCGAGGTCTATCTTGTTTACAAAATGAGATCATAGGTGCTGAATTTTAGCAGCATTGTTTTGTAATAATATATAGAATAATTTAATGAAAACATTGCACATTTTTAAAAATAAAATAATTTCTCTCAATATTCCTTTATAAAGACTTTATAAATTACGGACTACGCGACGCGAGACTAGGCTACGCGTTGCTGTGGCACATATATAAAAATCGTTCATTTAACAATAAAAAAAGAAAATAATCGGGATAAAAACTATCCTATCTTTTAAGTTGGAACAAATCACACATTTTGAAAAAAAATACGTTAAGATCGGATAAGCAGTTTCGAAGTTCATCACCGACCAACATCGTGGCACGGGAATTTTATATATTAAGATAGATTTTTTTTGCGTTTTTTTATCATATGATTGACGTTGTAATATTTCTTCTTTCATACATAACAAACAGGTTTATTTAGTTTTTATAATTCATGAATAGGTAATTATTTTGTTTTATATGAAGGAGTGAATAAATGAATCATCTGATTGTTTTTTTACGATATCTATGATAGCATTATCTGTACTTATAATATAATTGTGGAAGTCGAGTGTATTTAATAGTCGGGTGATAAGCTCGTAAGTAATTTTTTTATCCTGATATATTAGCCTAAACCTTAAGGAAGTGAGGGCATTACAAATCCTATATATTTTTTAGGTTCAAAGCTCAATTTTTTAACAAATCGAACAAGAAATCTAACTCTACATACCATTGACAATGAAGAATATCTAGGGAAGATATATTAAGAAATTAACATAACCTCCGAGCACTAGACATAAATGCTATTGCACTGGGTTCGCGGCCAAGTAGGTTGCGGGCAATAGGTCGTGATTGACCATTCCTCACACTACTATTCTTAACTTTGGACTTGAAATAATTTATAGTATTTTTTCTAATATAAGAAATGATTTTAGAAAACCTGACATATGAATATTATTTTTGATGTAGTTTTGACTGCGATTCCGCTCGCAAAATAGGTGTCAAATGCAAATTAGTAAAATTACTGATAGTAAAAAAAAACATGTTAATTACTTTATATATTATACAAATGCAAAAATAAGCAATTTTGTTCTAATTTAAAAAAAAATTGCTTATTGAGCTACCAAGTAATATAAAATCGATTTTGAAATTAATTTGGCTTGCTTTTTGTTGGATTTTGTACTATTATATACTTTCCGTTATCACTTAGGCGAATATTAAGCAAATAAGATCGTTTGAAATAAGCGTTAGATAGTGTTGTAAATATTTCTACCTGCTGCTGAATAATTGGCAAACATAGAAGAGTTGACATGGTTTTTTTTAGAATAGGTAGGTACATAATATCTTTTCATTTTCTATCGCGTACAGAGAAACAAATCAGACGATTTTACATTTTAGAATGCAAATACAAGAATACTATAACAAAAATTTATTTTATGAAAATCCTTTAGTTTATCGTATCTTATATTAGAGAGGATTGAATGTAACAAACAATAGACATTCCGCAAGCGACGCTGTTGGACATATTGCTCTATTTGCTGCATTCTTTATTGTTTTCTATAAGATTTTATTTGTATAGCCTTTTATTAAATATTTAATATAAGTGAAATAGAAATATATTCACATAAAATTCTGAACAAACTGTATGTAAATATTAATAATCTTTGCTATTTAAATTTAAAAATACAATCGTGTGTTTGCGATCTATTTTTCTTTGAAAAAATTTCGATCAACAACATTTTGGCAGAGATATTGATATATTATTAGCCTGTGAGTGACTTATTTGATATTTCTATACAACAAGTAATTCCCATAGGGTAATAATTAGTTATAAAACTTTCGAGTCGTTAGTTTCAAAAATATATTTTTAAAACCTCATATAGAAAATGACAAAGACAAGATTTTCTCTTTTCTAATGGTTGGAAACTCTAATGAACCGCTGAACAGGTTCAGTGAATTTCATTACCTATTTCTGATATCGTAACTTAATTTGTTAGCCTTATTAAAGCTTATAAGGAGGAATTTAGTCGTCTGTGAAATTTCAATTTCTTTAATAGATCTCGGGATTCGTCTGGGGATTTTAATCACGTGTAGCACAAGCTTAGTGTCTTTGATTCGGATTCTAATTTGACAATTTAGTTATAGCTTCAGTGTCGCGCGTGTTGCTTCATCCAATAACACGGACTTTACATACGAATTGTATTATAAATAAACAAGCGTTCAAAGTGTTTATTTTTTCTAATGGTATCGGTGAAGTGTTATACTGTGTAAAGTAATTTATTTTTGGATTTTTCATAACAATAGCACACAATTTCCTCAGGATAATGTAAGTGGAATTATTATTTTTGTTTATCAATTCTCAGTCAGTCCTTGCTTCACTTAGATCATCTATTAGTAGTTTAAATATACCTACCTACTAATATTCTACCAAACTAGAACGTACTGATGTAATAAAATAATAATGTGATATGCAAAAATGACTTCAGGTGCTCCGTAGCTGTATTAATATAAAAAATCCATAAACACTAGATAAGGCTCTATATTACTATAATATTATGTATAAGAAAATGAAAATAGACATGTTTGATGTAAATATGTGTAAATGAAGATTATACTATCTAAGTATATCCAGCAAAAGAAATAGAGTGAAAAAAAAAAAATATATTTATGTTATAATTAAAAAAAAGTTTGAAAAGCACTACTTTTACGTAGTACTTCTATTATTTACATTACTTAAACTTGTTATTTTAATTTGCAGCGCCAGATTTTCTTGAATTACGGCTTTTAATTTCCTTAATGCAAAATTCAATAAAAGGACCTAAACAAATATAAAACCAAAGAGAAAGCCTATTAGCATTAAGTAAGGCATTCGTCTAATGAGATGTTTTGGAGCGTTACTAACGATACTTCATACATATAAGCTTAGTGCAAATGTGTCCTAGAATCTGATTTCTTGTACTTTTAGAAATCTAAATTACCCATACTTGAATTATAAAAAGATACTATATTAGAAAAGTAACTTTCAATAAGTTGGTATTGAATACGAGAAATCTTTTCAAATTTTGATTTATTTAACTATATTTATTTACAAAGGGATGTTTGAAATCCTTGTCTCGGCTGGAGACGTTTTGTATGAGACATGAAAAAGCTTCTAGCTTAAAAGAAAACTTAAGAGATTGCGTACATATATTTGGTAAGCAAAAGCCTACATACTCGTATTACATTACATTATGTTTAAGTATATAACATAAATATATAATATTAATGCCAATGAAACAATAGTTTTTGATAATATTACGATTATGAAAAATATAACTTATAAAATATTAAAGTTACTAGTAATTATTCAATTTCATAATAACTACAAATTAAAATATTGTAAAAAATCATTTTTAAAAATCTTTTATTTAAATGCTCTAAAAAGAAGAAAATAAACTTTAAATTGATCCAAACCCATCAAAATTATTACATCACACTATTTATATGATATAAAAGCTTGTCACGAGATATGCGTTATTGTATCATTTTTAGTACAAAATATCTCTACATAGTATAAAACGAAGTCGCTTCCGCTGCTGTTCGTTTAGATCTTTTAAACTACTCGACGGATTTTAATGCAGTTTTCAGTAATAGATGAGTGATTCAAGAGGAAGGTTTATATGTATAATACATGCATATTATAGTGCAGAAAAGTTAAAAAATTCAAAGATTTATATTTTATACTAACCGTAAAAACGTACCTAGGGACGAACCCGAGCGAAGCGAGGTTGGGTCGCTAGTTGTTAATAAATTGATATGATTAGTATTTCTACTATGTACCACTTTAATCATCAGTAAGAAATGTTAATATCCTGATTATTCAATGCAAATATGATACATACCCAATTTCTATTTTATCAAAATTTATGAAGGGAATCTTACAGAATACCTTTTAAATGAAATTTGTCTTCAGAATTCCCTTCCTAACAGGCTTTGATAAAAAATGTCTCGGGTCTATTATGGATTTACTTTTTGAAAAATAACCTTAAGAAAAAAGTATAACCTTTTTATATTTTTCTTTTAAATCTAAAGATTTAAAAGAAAAATATAAAATATATAAAATATATACAGTAAACTGTATCTGATTTTTTAAAGTAAATGTTTCTTCTGTAACAAGTAACTAAATATTACAAAATTTTAATTAGGAATTTTTATTTACTTAATTTAATTATACAGAATCGTTAGAGCTATCTATACCTACATATAACAAAACTGTACAGGTCGAATGTCTGTACATAGAAAAAAAATGCTAAAAACCGAGTCAGGGGGATGTAAAAAGAGAAATAGAACATATCCAGATAGATTTTTTCAATTTTTTTGTTTCTCTGTCTGTTCGTCTGTTTGTATGGGCTAATCTCCGAAACTATTGGACTGATTTAAATGAAATTTTGCATGGCAATGCATAATCCCGATCAGTATTTGAAATACTTTTCAGCCCGGAAAATTAAAGAGTTCCCGTGGGATAGTTAAAAAACTATAGTAACTTATACAGCTTAGTACACAAAAACTACTGATTTGATTTTAATGAAACTTTACGATCATAAAGTTTCATACATCAGAATAACAAATAGGCTACTTTTTATCCCGGAAAAATGTGCATTTCCTGTGGGATACATTTGTTTTTGTTACTAGACAAACAAAAACAAATGTAAGCGAAGCCGAGCGAAGCGAGCGTGAGTCGCTAGTTTCATATAAATTTCAGTAATTAAAACGATGCTTATCAAATCATTTAAGGCAGGAATTCTCAAGCAAGAAGGCGCGCCTTCCTAGGGGGTTTATTTTGTATAACATAATATTAAAATAAAAAAAACATGTGTGTTTTATTAAAATAAAAAATAAATAAAGGGGAAAATGAAGTATTTTTATAATCCGGGTAGGGTCAACAGAAGAAAGGTTACGAAAACCCTCATTTAAGGCATTGATGTTGTTACAATTCTATCTAGTAATCTCAAGCCATGTGCGCTATTGTTACTGGCGATAAAAAGTATAAGATTATCATGTCATCATTTTAATCTCATTGAAAATACATAATGTATATCTATATTATAAAACACACTACCTGACTCCCTGGCTCTATACTATCTTTATATACTCGACGCATGAAGTATTAGACATCTTTGAATTGGATTTCCTTCCTTTCGTTTTTTGAAACTGCCTTCTTAATATACAACATTTTTTTGAATTTTACTGGCAAAATTAAATTAATACTACATTGCTTTTACAAATCATAAGTATTATTTTAATAAACAAAATATCCTTGAAGTACTCTCAAAACTGTCTATTTAGCATTAAATCTACCAAATTTACGGTAACTCATGCGATCGTATCATATAATTGCTATTACGTAGCTTCCAAAGCCTCATTAATACAAGTGATTTTGCGAACGATGCAATCACAAACGAATATTCAATGTACACAACCTATATAAACTTCAGCGAGCTCAAAAATTCATCTATACATATAATAAAATTGTAACTAAGCTGAATCTGTACATCAAATATTTTTTGGAAAATCTTATTGAAATAGACATTATTATCGATACAGAGGCCGAATCTATCGTTTATAGAATTTTTGTCTGTCTGTCTGTTACCGCATCACAGAAAAACCACTGGAGGGATTTTGATGAAATTTGGTAGGTTACCGCGGGAAAATGTCTCATTTCTGAGAAAAAATACAAAAACTGCAATATAAGAGTATACTAATATGTAAAACCTAAGAATTTGGTTTTTGGTCATCTGAACGCGGGCGGTATCGGGGGCAGTGCTAGTATTATATATTTTTGATTTGTGAAATAATAAAAATATTTTAATACATTCATTTATATTATAAAAGTAAAAAATATGAATATTTTGTGACATTGTTTAGTTCTTGATTTTTATTTTATTTTGTTTACCTAAGAGTAGCTTTTTCAAGGTAAAAAGTTTAAGTTTCACTTTTTTGTTATCTGAAAGCTAACACAAGTTTACGTAAAAAAGTTTAAGTTTAGTAACAAAATTCTATAGCCGAAATATGTTTAAAAATTGTCAGAGTATGAAAAAATGTACAAAATCATTACTATAAGCTGTGATCAAATTTACTACCATACTCATAATTTTAGCTCAATTTAAAATAACTTGTATCTATGCCCTCATATAATTGCTTCCAGAAAATTTAACGATGGAAGCTGCTGACATAAGCCACTATAAATTTTAATGTCATGAATACTTAAAATGCAATTTAAAATCTGTCATTATTCGGGTAATTATTTAAAACGATTTTGTCTTTTCGTGGCAAATTAATTTCACGGTACGCAATCCAGACTTTCTATTATAAAACTTTTTTCTGCAGTTTTTACTTGATGTGAGATTATTTAATTTTTTATTGCATTAAAATAAAATATCAAAATTTAGCCCAAAGCATAATCTATACGTATATAATAAAATTGTAACTAAGCCGAATTAAATATTTTTTGCAAAATCTTATTGAAATAGACATTATTATCGATATAGAGGCTGAATCTATAGTTTTAATTTTTAAAAATTTTGTCTGTCTGTCTGTTACCGCATCGCGGTAAACCTACTGGAGGGATTTTGATAAAATTTGGTATGATGATAGGTTATCCGGGTTAACTTTTTATTGCGGGAAAATATCTCATCTCTGAGAAATCTATACTAACGTTCAAATGCAAGTAGAGACGAACCCGAGCGGAACGAGGTGAGTCGCTTGTATATTATTATTCATGCATTTTTCAAAATAGGGCTCAGTAAATCTAAGTAGAGAGATTTCAATACTGCAAAGGATATGATATGTTTTAGCATTTATTTCTACCAATACACGAAATATGTAGAATGGTTTGGCCCTTTTTTAAAAACAACATTTCAGAATTCGATTCGTATTTTTTCAATTCCTTTGACAAGTACTTACTACCACAAAAATATGGAATCTCGAGTTTGTTGGGTAAATTCGTTGACATGGAAAAAATCATTCAGTCGAAATGGATACAGGAACGAATTGGTGGTCAGACAAATCGCCAATATAATAATGGTTTTCCGATTTAATTGAATTTATTTTATTGTTTATCGATTTATTTTAGTGTCAAGGTTTTGTTACACGTTACAATTAATATTTTAAATGTAGGCTAAGTTAATTATATTATAAAGGCGAAATTTGTATCTGTGTATATTCGCTTTACGCATAAACGGCTGCACAGATTTAGATGAAATTTAGTACACTGATAGACCTATATAACCTGGATTAATACATACATACTGTCTGTCGTCTATACTAATATAATAAAGAGGCAGAGTTTGTTTGTTTGTTTGAACGCGCTAATCTCAAGAACTACTAATCTGATTTGAAAAATTATTTTTGCATTAGATAGCCCAATTATTGAGAAAAGCTATGGGCAATATATTATCATGCTACTACACAAGGGAGTGGAGCAGTGATATAATACTTAGTTTATCTATCCCGTACTAACCGTTAAAACGTACCTAGGGAAGTGAGGGTGAGCCGCTAGTAGACATTATAAATACAAAACGCATCAATAACGTATCTCGCTAGTAATTTTAAATACATATGTATTTGTAATGATTTCCTTAATTGGAAATCTGTAAATCAGATAGAAACCGATATTTGATTCACAAAGTCGGAGTTAAAATAAATTCTGAACTAAAAGTTTCACTTCCTAAAATAAATATTATTGCTTTTCATTTTGATAGTAGAATATTTTTAAATACGAGTCCAAAATGCTTTAGACTACAAAAGATATCTTGTCTGAAATCGTTGAGATAAATAATTTTTATTTATCAGTAGGTGCATATTTGCACTAGTAATTTAATAACATGATTTCCTTATGTCTTACGGTGAAGGAAAACATCGTGAGGAAATCTGCATATCTGAGAGAACCTAGCAAGTTTTCGAAAGATATGTGAAGTCTGCCAAGTCGCACTTGTCCAGCGTGGTGGACTATGGCTTGATCTCCCTTGTATTGAAGGGAGGCTTGTGCTCAGCAGTGGGACGTAAAAAAGGGCTGAATTCAATTTAATAAGGATGACTAAAATTAATTTTAAAATAATATGTATATTCAATCACACTGAAAAAGTAACTTAGAAGTGATGTTTTAATTATAAAGAACTGTACTGTACTTCATTGATTTATGAACAAAATATCAATCGGTTTAAATAATTTCAACCATTCAATGAACGTTGCTGTTTCATTTGACAAATGTGAGCGATATATCAGTGACGCCCAATAAAGTTCAAAATAAAAAAAACGTAGAACACTTTTCGGTGTCATTAAATAGATAGGGTATTATTTTTTCTACACAATAGCTACTAGTATACAGACTGTTAGTTTGATTTGAATATTTTCTTCAACTATACTGGGTGAAATATTTAGTTTTCGTATATATAAAATGTTGAAATATGATAAATAAATTGGACCTGGTTTGGGCGGAAAAATTAAAAATCTATACATATAATAAAATTATAACTAAGCCGAATCTGTACATTAAATATATTTTGGAAAATCTTATCGAAATAAACATTATTATCGATACAGAGGCCGAGTCTATAGTTTTTAAAATTTATGTCTGTCTGTAAAATGCAAAAGTATACTAATCTGTGAAACCTAAGAATTTGGTTTTTAGACATCTGAACCCGGGCGGATTATACCTTTATACCATATATTATATATGTAATGTAACTGGTATAGTATATAATGATGTTAAACATAATGTATGTAACATTGACATACCTATTCAGATATTTTCTAAAATAGGGTCGTAAAATTGCTCTACATTCGTAAATATATTCTGTTTCTTTTACATTATTAGCGCCTGTGCTTTTCATTGTTTTATATCACTTTTGCATCATCAAATTCATGTTATAACACAATATACTCATTCATAATTTTTCTCATCCTTAATTGCCTAATAAACTGTCTAACATAAACAAAAGTCTGGGTTGTTTTTAGAATATCTGTCTGTTAATTTCGTGTTGAAATCAACATCTAAATGCTACATTGGTATTGTTTATGTAGGTATTTATTCATTGGAGTGTTCTATAAGCTCTACGTAAATAATAATTAACTTAGACGTCCCCGTCTAGAGTAAAATTTGTTATATCAGTTTACAAAACTCAATAAAACAATTGCAAATTCTATATCCCTTCTTAATAGACTGTCCATTTAATTTTATTCGAATTTGTAACTTTACGTTAAAGACTTTTTTAATGTTTTTCCCTTTTAGAAAATTCCTTTGAGAGTGATTATTTAGTAACTTATCATAACTTTTTATTCTATTGTAATTGTTATGAAATTTATTAGGAACTATTATTAAATTTAAGATTTTATATTTTTTTTATTTTGTTTCTTTTTTTTGTTTTAATTTACTCGATCTTCTTTGTTAATATTTAGAGACAGTGTGTAGGTACTGGTTTGTAATTGTCAACCTCGCACCATGTCTAGTCGGACTGCCATTAACATCTGTATGGCTAATTTGTATTTACACATGAAGTATCGCGACCTCCACATGTACCTACTATACAGTGCCAGCCAGTCAAATGCCTTACTGTGCCACGAAAGTCATTTGAATTAAATATACTAATTATATACTCCAGTATAATAATCTGATAGTTTTTATTTTTATGGTAACATTAATAATTACATACGTAGGCATGCCAATTGAGAATTTGATAAACCCTTTCATATAAATAAATTTCTTTTACAAAAAGTTGATATTTAAAAATGCTTTTGTTCATCTTCAGCTATATAAAGTAAATTAGTCCTTATAGGTAACCAAAATATTTGTCATATTAATATTATTAATATAGACAATAAATATGTTGGGACATTAACACACAGCACCATTTAGTTCAATGGTAAGCTACGAGGCCTATGTTATGGATACCAGATAGTTGATACACTACGCATATATAACTCTGAATACATACGTATTATAATTGTAAACGTACAACACAGTCATGGGACTGGAGTACAAACATTCATGCTCATTACACAAATTAATGCCCCCAGCGGGACTCGAACCCGCGACGGCTGGCACAGCAAGTAGGGTCACTACAAACTGAGCCAGGGGCTTCGTCAAAAGATAATAAAATTAATGAATATAATATATTTATAGAAATTAAATGTGTTTATTTTAGTACCGAAATAAACTGAACGAGCAGCAGAATGGCAGATTATCAGCGCAAAGGGCCGCGTTAGGGGCGCGCCAGGAAGAGATGCGTAGCATAGATCGACGGGTTTCAGAATTGCAAGCTAGGTTGCTGAGGAAAAGAGCGCTCAATAGACAACTAGCGGCTGCACATCGACAACCACAACAACGGTAAAATAATTTCATTTACAATAAATATATTTTAAGGATACATTTATTATTTTAGCTGTCTAGTACAGTACCTAAGAATATTTAATTCAAAGCTATTGCTGCGTGTATTGATTGGTATATTTCAATTATACGAGATTTTCTTAATGATCGATGTAAAAAAATATTGCTTAAATAATCGTTAGCCATAGTACTTGCATAAAAAGTGATGTGATGATTTTCTTATGTTGTTTGTTTGTGTTTAATTTTAGCTAATTAAATAGCATATTAATATTACGAATGCAAAAGTTTGTGACAATATCTGATCTTATCTGATCGTTTGTAACTCGAAAACCGTGAAACGTATTTAGATATAATTTGGCAAACTCGTAAATTAAGCCCAGAGAAAACACTTTTGACCCGTAAGCCGGGTGTAATTAAGTACTTGTCGTAATATTTTTCAAATAGCTAAAATAGTTTATTACAAATCGAAACGTAAAAACTATTCTAGCAAATTTCAACCTCTAAATCCCTCTTGATTCTATTTAATATAATTTCAATGTGACATTAAAATTTGTAAAATAGCTGAATAATATTATTTTGCACCCGAATATTTCATTAGTATGAATTTACTGCTCATTAACGTTTTCCTCCACTTGGCAATGTCTAAAAGGCGTATTACGTAGCACTTATTTAAGCATTCGAGAGTTATCTTAGAAGAAAATAAACTCAATAAGCCTTCTCGACTTGAGCGTCCCTTTACTGACAATGCCAAGAGAAAAGTATCGTTTGGAACTAAGTCCTCTTATTTGTCTTATACTTTTAAGCTACTAACAAAAGCAAGTTCGAGGTTTTTTTACATTTAAAGTCTTAATTACTTTGGCAGTTATGGTTTAGTTGTTTATTTAACTTTATTCACTCAATGAATTATAAATATCTCTAGAATAACTTTAACGAACGGTATAAAGTTCATTTAGTTAATCATTGTCACCAATTGTAATTGTATTTATAGTTAGTGTTATTTATGAATATCTTAGCTCTATTTCACATTTGGTGTTAATTAAATGGATATACCTACCTGTTATATTATATTTTATAAAATATACTTATTTTGGAATAAAAACTTTTTAGGACAAATATTCCCACGCCAATGCAACAGCTGCCAAACTATCCAGCCGGCAATAACCCAGTGAACAGTCAACCAAAGAATCAACAAGCGAGAGGAAATGTAGCAGCCGTGGAACCCTACAATCACGTACCTCATGCGCAGAGCCTTCATAACAATAATTTCCAAGTAAGTAAAATAATAATCCGAAATCTTAAAGAAAAGTTGTATATATTTCTTTAATACTTAATTCTATTTTGAATTTACAGGCAATGAAGCAAAATGTTATACAAAGTAATGTGCCATTAAAACAGCTGACTCAAAGTGATAACATACAAAGTCATTTAACCCAACAAGAAGCTCATTTCCTACAACAAAAGCAAATAATTAATCCTGTTTTTAATGGCAACTATCCTCATATGCAAAACGTTCAAGATCAATATCAAGGGCAGTACATCAATAAACACGAAAACAACGGATTTAATCACGTTCAACAAGGCATTACGAATGCTTATGATCAGAAATCAATGTTTGATCACATGAATAAATATTCAGAGTTTTCGAAACAACCGCAATATAGCCCTAATAGTACTAGCAGTTCAAATAGTAACCAAACTAGTAAAGAACAGAAAATAAATGAACAGGAATTCCCGCCCGAATTTGCAGCAAGTAAATCTGATCCTAAATATCAAACTTTGCCATATAATACGAAATTCCCACAAAATTCTAATGGTAAAATAAAACAGCCTGAAATAAATGGAAAGGTTAACGAACCAGATATTAAGAATCAAAATGCACCAAACATTAATCATATGACTGTTCACTCAACACCATTGTCGGTTGTTAACAAAAGCTTGGCAACCCCTCTCAGCCAAAATGAAGCAACATATCAACAAGAGCATACGTATCAGCTGCAAAAGTCAGATTCGTCTAGTAGATGTAATCAAGAAGGCAAAGAAAATCATGCATATCCACAAAACTCTAGGTTAAGTCAAAACAATAGTCAGACTAATGATGGTTCCAGAAATAGTGGAAACAAAAGTCAACAGGGTAGTGTTATGAAGGGCAGTTCTCCAAGCTTGCTATCAAATACAACGTCTGCCAGTAGTTCTATAGGATTTGGGGTAAGCTATCACTTTTCGTATAAACAAAATCATTCATTGTCACTATTGTACATTATTTCTTGAAAAAATCATTTTTGCCTTTATCATTCGCTTTTACCACATACATTTGTAAATATCATCACCAATCATTCATTACAGAAGCCCGTATCGAGTGTAGCCCCCACATCGGTTCAGGTCTCGAGCGGTAAACCATCACCCATTTATCAGACATCCTCTACAAAGATCCAACCAGTTCAACCACAAACTGTTCAGACACAAAGTATATCTGTAACTTCATCAAATCATGTAGCTAGTAATGTGGTAAATTCCCAACCCCAGATTGTAAGAAACACGGCGTCAGGGCTATCTACTAGTACCCCGAGCTCAAACTTCAGTGGTCAAAATGCATCTTCACAAAGTATATTGCTATCTCCACCACAAAGTGCCAGTACGCCGCTATCAACACCAGACGTTAGTGGTACAGACAAATCACCCAAGCCAGCATTACCACCTAAGCCTACTATTAAGGTATTTATTAATATATTTATTTTTGCCATAAGTACAATAAAAATCTTACATTATATGGGTCACAGATTTTTCTATATCTTTAAGTTCATATAGTATTCAGTTATTTCTTTCAAGTATTTATTAGCAATATTTTTAATAGCAATTGTAACGAATAATTTATTGGCATGTGGTATATTTTATTCTAGAAATTGCGGGTATTAGATAATTTAGTATACATATATTATGCAGATAGTAAGTATTGTAGAAATAAATATAATAAATGGTATAAAAGTATTGTAATTTGAATTTCAGACTCCTCCACGGCAATCAATAAACCATGATGCAGGTTTCACACAGTCGACGGAGACTATAAATATGCCCACCATATCTATTCCGGATTCGTCAAATGACAGTGAATCAAACATGAAAGAAACGATAAATGGAACCAATAATGATATGATAATAAAAGCTCGACCGTTAACCATCAGAAAACCACCTTTGAGCGAACAGCCTAAGTTGAGAAATATTAACAATGCTAAAAATGGCATAAGCGTTAGTATGAACCGACGTATAGAGATGCCTCCAGCATTTTTATTCCCAGAAATGGATCATATGAATCTCGACCTAAACGAGCAGAATGGTCAAAAAGATAAAACCAAACAAAGAGATGAAGTAGATAGATCACTAAGTAATAACATATCTTTAAATTATGATAAGTCAGATGATAGTAAAGATAATGTTGTTGACATAACAGAACAAATAAGTTCTGTAGATTTGAACGGTCAGGATTCTCAGAGATCTGAGAATATTCTGAGGCGGTCAAAGAAAGGAAATTTAAAGCAAGGAGGAAAGGCACCTTTGGCGAGGCGTGTGAGCTTCGATCCTCTTGCGTTACTTTTAGATGCAAGTTTAGAGGGTGAATTGGAACTTGTAAAAAAGACAGCAACTCAGGTGAGACAAAAGAGTACCTTTTTTAAAAAAAATTAATAATAGTAGTAATGTCCCCCACACCAATTTCGGCCACGGTAACCAATCTCAATGAGACTGGCTATATGCGTAGCAGATATTATAAAGTATAATTGTGGGCACAAACTCAAGGGCATAGATTATCCCGTTCCGTCTCAATGACGGATGACAATTGGATACGAATCATATGCTCTCCGAGGCACGGTTTATAATAAAAAAGCAAAGCGGTTTAAAATAGCAAAGACTACAAGTATAGACTAAAGAATAAAAAGTAATCTAAATTATTTGTTGTATATTTGAACACATTTTCACTTATTGCAAAAAGTATGTCAAGCATAGGTTAAAAAAATTAAATCAAATGTCAAAGTGGAAATAGAAAAAAACATATAAAATCAAGAAATGAAATATCAAAGCTTTTAAAATAATTTACAAAGAATACGTTTAATGTTTTAGGTTCAAAATGCAAGCGCCGCAAACGACGAGGGTATAACAGCTCTTCATAATGCTATCTGCGCCGGCCATTTTGAAATAGTAAAGTAAGTTTTATGACATTTTAAATAAAAAAAAATAAGTGATCTTTATTTTGATATTAAATATCATATTAAGTATTATATAAAGTTGGAGGTTTCTGCCTGCACATTAAATACGCTTAATAGCATTACGAGTATGTACGATAAAACTTGTTTTAGCGATATCTGCTTACATACTACCTTCCCTAATGTCATTTAAGATTTGTCTAACTGACCTCTCCTACATGTTAGGCTTCCTCCGAATGGAACATATAAATTCATTACCTCATTTGATAAACCTAATCGGATCATATAAAGTATTGAAAAATATAATTAAAGCGCGTTCCAGTAATTCGGCATAATTAATTCAAAAATGTTTTAATTGCAGGTTTTTAGTAGAGCTAGGTTGTGATGTGAACGCACAAGACTCAGATGGATGGACGCCGCTGCATTGCGCTGCGTCTTGCAACAATTTGCCGATGGTGCGATTTCTTGTCGATAATGGTAAGACAATTATTTTGGAATTATTTTTATTAACACGTGTGAATAAAATTATATCAGTAAGAAGTATTATATATTACATTAGTGAATATTACTAAATACCTATAATAAAATGCTATAATATTTGTAATTATACGATAATGTATCATTTACGTATGCTAACGGGGACAAGTGAAAAGCCTGATAGCTGAAAAGTTATAGTTTTAATAATCGAAAAAAGTCGCGTTGTGGACGCAGATAGACAGACAGACACATAAAAGTTTCAAAAATTGATTTTTTTGTTATAAGTAGGTACCGTATATACTTTCCGATGCATTTAGTAAGCTGTTATTTTGATATTACAGACATGATATGACTTGACATTTCAATTTTATTTATTCGTATATAGAATAATTTTTATTAACTCATTTAATAAATTCGCTTTTTGATTAATAATTTACTCTTATAGTCTCTAATTATATTTATGAGGTCGTAATGGTTTTTAATTAAGATGAAATTAATTTAGAATATTTTTTTTTAATTTCAGGCGCTTGCATATTTGCAACAACATTATCTGATCATGAGACAGCTGCGGAAAAATGTGAAGAAGATGAAGAAGGCTTCGACGGCTGCTCTGAATACCTTTACAGTAAGTTCTCATTGTAAATACATTTAAAAATTCAAACTTAATGAAATGATTTAATAAAAAAAAATCAGCCCGTGGATTGAAAATTGAAGCACGTCTTTTGGGCTATGGTTGTAGAGGTAGAGCAATAAAACTCTTGGTTAACAAGAGTGACTTATGGAGATTCGCCAACACGCACAATATATACAAAGTTCTGGCTAAATTTAGTCACTGAACACTAATTTTCACTACTTGTTACACTTTCACTATGACTTTACTTTGACATACTCTTCTCAGTCTTCACTTAGCTCCGAAATTCAACTGATCTCTCGACACACTTTTTATATAAATAAGCAAAGAACATTCTAGTATTCGAAACTTCAAAACTTTACTAGTAATTTCGATTCCTTTGTGGAAAATGTTTTGTTCCTCTCTTACGTGTGTAACTGTTCTTGTCTGTTAATTGTCATGTGGTGACAACTATCTTAGGATGTATAAATCATGCTTCAGACGTGCATTTTTAATTATTATTTTTGGTGTAATGACGCTACACACACTCTATAGAGTATACTATTACGTATACTACAACATCGCGACACTATTATAGTTTATTTTTTTTTAACCAGGTGTCCAAGAGAAACTAGGTATAATGAATAATGGTCTAGTATACTCGGTCTTCTCGTACTCTGCATCGCGGAGTGACGAGCTGAGCTTCGATACCGGCGCACGTCTGCAAGTGCTGAGGAAGGGAGACGATAACGAACGTGAGTGGTGGTGGTGTAGAGACGACGCGGGAAATGAAGGCTATGTGCCTAGAAACTTGCTTGGGGTAAGTATTTTATAATTGAAAAAGAAATAAAGATTAGGACATTTGTCATGGTTTTGATTTTCACTTACTAATTAAAAGCTTTTTCTCATTCTAATTAAAAACAAACGGAGCGCGTTAAGTTAAAAAATATTGATGGGATGCGAAATTGCCACTTTTTTATATCCGCTCTTAAAGGGGATGTTCGTTAATTCATTATTAGTTAATTCAAATAATAAATCAATCAGTATCAAATAATAAAAACAATGGTAAAAACTTACAAAAAAATGTAAAACAGTAAAAAAACTAATAAAAACAGTTTGGGTTCAAATTGAAATGAAAGCTGTTAACAGAAAATTAGCAGAGTTATCTCTGCCTCACTCCTCTAAGTAATACTGAAATCAAATAGAAAATAATAGCATATTAAGCAAAAATATTTTTTGTTTCACAGTAACTATATGAGTGGTTAGTCAATAGGGTTAGATGACGAGGATTATAATTATTGTCTAATAAATACTTAACTTTCAATTTAACCTCATTATTTTTTCCTTTTTTAATATATGTTTTTTTTTATATTTTTTAGTTATACCCGAGAGTAACCCCACAGCAGGACTAAGAAATCGAAGAAGAATGAAGAAGTAATCAATGGCTTAAATTATGAACTTATTATTGTATATACATTGGGTAACTCTTTATTTTTTATGTATTTATATAATTATAAACTTAAAATATATATTGTATACAATTTTAACAGATTTAATATTTTGTAAATATTTAAATAAGCAAGTAAAGTTCAAAACTAATGAGATTATATTGTACATTTTATAAATACGAGTCATCATTATAATTGGTAATAAAATTTGTATTATTCTTAGGGTTTCTGAAAATATTGTGAAATATTATAAATTGACAATACAAATTAATATTACAAAGAAATCGTGGTATCATTCATACTCCTTTACTGAAACATTAGGAATATGTAGATCATAATCCAAGAAAGTTTTTTACCTACATTTTAAGTTAACATAAGAAACTAATACCTATATACTTATAACATATATTTTAAAAATATTATTTTCTTGGTCAACCCATGTTAAAATAATAAGAGTTTACAAAACAAGGTAAGTTTATCAACGTTACAGAATTTACAAAAGAAAATTAGGTAAAAATGAAATGTATATAAGTAAATAATAACATTTATTTATTTTTAAGAGAAATCAATTAATTGTACACACAAATATTATATAAAGCGTATTATATAAAAGCTTCTACAATATGGCGGTCATTGCTTTACTTAAAGGATCTCTTATAGATAAGCATGTGGGTTATAGAAGTTGGGCAAAGAAGTCGAAGTTCACGGTGAAGATATTTTAAAAATCAAAATTTTCATACATTTGATTTAATAGTGAGAGATATGACCATGATGTACTTATAATCTGAAAGTAAAAATGAAATAAATCACTAAAACATCTTAGAAGAAAAAAATATGTGTGTGCTTATGTACGCACGAGAAATAAGAATGAGTAAGAAGTTATAAGCTCTTTGTTTTTTTAGAGCATTTAAATAAAAGCTTGTTTTTTTAAGTATTTAAAAAAACCGTATTCTTCTCTGCAAACCCTTTAATTTGATATCCACATGGGGGTGCATAAAAAACCGTCCGCCATCTTTAGATTTACAATGACGTCTCTTTGCTTTTTGTGTTTCGCTTATCAAGCTCTTTCATTTGTTGCAATTATCATAAGGGCCACTATGGAAATGATAAATTGCCATTTTGTAACGTCCGCCATATTAAGTATTGAATTAAGAATGGCGAAATTTAGGTAATCGTGCAGTCACGAGAACCAAACGTGTGTGTGTTTCAGCTCAATCGGACACTGGGATATGGGTCAAATGTAACTTTCAAGATTTGATTACAATCCGACACCGGGACAGGGGAAACTAAATAACAGCTCGTAATTATTTTTATGTTTATCGATATAAATCACGTGTTTTATATAATATATAATACGGGAATAAATATTTTGAATATAGACGTCACTTCACACTATATATAGCCAATAACGACTGACTTCATACTGTAGTCTAAATCTGTTGCCTCGTAAAAAAATCACTCTTTATTCATTTTTCTTTTTTTCATAAAGCACCAAAAGAAGTATAACTACACAAATACCACAATTATTACTGTAAGCATTTTTTGTGTCTTTTATAAAAAAGAAATAAGAATACTATATGTATTTAACACAATACCTTCGTAAACATTGCAAGTGTTATATTCGAAAATCCTAATGCTGACAGGTAGCATGGTGTTTGTGACCTAAAATTTTAAAAATAATTTTTTTATCAATTTTTTAGACAACCAGGTTACTAAAATGTCTGTATGTTTAATACAAGCATTTACCGCTGTGTAAATTTAACCCAATAACCTTCGATGTTGAAATCAGTTAAAAATCATCAAACTTTAATCTTAATGAAATAAATCAAGTGGGTGTTACAAGACTATGCCCACATTAACTAACTAACCCTTTGGTAACGCGCTTACTAGGAAAACATGCGAATCGTTTTTTTAATGACTTGTGAAGTTCAAATTCGATTTAGCGACTAGTCCATTGAATAGATGTCTGTGCTAAATAACATAATTATATGTTTTATATAATTAGCTACAATAAAAGTAGCCTATGTTACTCCCTATAACATCAACTATCTTCCAGTGAAAGACCCAGCAAAATCAGTCCAGCCGTTTCAGAGATTATCCGGAACAAACAGACAGACAAAAATTTAAAAAATATGTTTTTCTTATAAGTACCGTATATAATTTCATATGTATTTAGTAAAACGCTGTTATTTTGACATTACAAACAGGCACTTCAATTTTATTTATTTGTATAGATAAGTTTATAAGTAAGATTATTATGTTTACCGAGTTATGATTATCGCGATATACTGCCTAAATGTCTTTCCTCTCTCATACCAATGACACTGATATGCCGCATCTGCTATGTCAAAACTCTAAAACATCAAATGAAATATATATATTTTCTAAAGCATTTTATTTTAAGTAGAAATATTTAGGTAACTTACTGTATTGGCAAGAACTTGTCCAGGCCACGATAAAATGAATGTTCCGAAGAGAATTCCTAATGTTGCCGTTAAATATTTAAGGAACATGCCGTCGGCTACCTACAAATATAGCAATTAAAGGGACTTTTTAAGGCTTACGTACACCGATGTAAAAGTAAGATCACTGTCAGTCTGCCACAGTATATTTTCTTCAAATTAACTGTACTAAAGACCTTGAAAATTTTATTGCACATCATGATTATAGCGTAGTTTTCATCGATCATTGCGCACTTTACAGGTTAAGATCCATGTTATACGCAGTTACATAAACTTGTAAAATTGTTGTCATGTTAATCAGGGGTTTTCGTCAAAATTGACATACAGGGATGAAGCCGTTAGCAATAACTAGAATAGAAACATGCTTACCATTGCCATAAATCCGTAGCAACAAATAATAATTGATGAGCAAGATACTTGAGCAAAAATGATAAATCCGAAAATAGTATTTATATCTTTTGCGATACTGAAAAATAACAACGTTATGATTTAACGTGATATTTTTAATATAAATTGAACTAGCCTTAAGCCCAAATATGACTTTATTATTGATTTGATTGGCAAATATACCTAATTTATTTTGTAAAAATATTACCTAGGTACTTAAAGTTCATTAAAATTTTTATTGAGTGTCTTTAAGAATGCCATTTGGACGCAATTTACTTCACCAATTTCATGTAAAATGGAGAAGACGCGATGGGGCAGTCACATATAAATGTAAGAAATATTAAAATAAAATTAATTTTAATAGTCAAAATTTCAATTTTTTTCAAATTCGTTCATGGTTTACAAGTTTAACTAGTAAAACTCAACATTGCATAGCTATGTGAACGACAATTTTTATACTATACATATTACAGTGAAGTTTCAAGTCACTACACTTAGCGTAAAGTAGAATATACATTTACGAAAAATTCAAATGATTAAAACCTTAGGAGTTTCTGGTGTAGCACTACAATAGATTTAATGTCCTCGCAAGAATCATCTTCTTCAAAATTAAAGTTGGATTGTGAAGATAATACTAAATTTTCAAGATCGATCTTAAGTAAACTCAGTAGTGCGCTCAAGTCATATGTTAGATCCACCAGTAGCAAGGCACATGGTATATATAATGACATATGACACAGTGAGACTGCAATTGTTAATAGAAAGAAAGATGAAACAATATTAGATTAAATTTCTATTTTATTAATCCCCGACGCAAAAAGAGGGGTGTTATAAGTTTGACGTGCACGCGTGCGTGTTTTTCTGTGGCATCGTAGCTCTCAAACGGATGGACCGATTTAGATGCATTTTTTTCATTTGAAAGCCAGTTTCCTTGCGGTGGTTCTTAGCTATGTCTGATTATTATCGGTCCAGCGGTTTAAGAAAATCAGCTGCTTTCCAAAATGATATAATACATTTTGGCGTATGATTACTCGAATAAGTGCTTCACGCGTGCCAGTGTAATCGTTAAATGACAATGAATTTGCGTAGGAGGGTTTTTTTGATTTTCAATTTTTAACAACATAATTTGAATGTTTTTTAAATTAGAAATTTTTAAATGTCAGATATTATGTTATATTAAAAGTGTTAAGCAAACATGTTAATATAATATTATCAATATGATATTATCCTCATTTTACTACTTCATTTAAATTATAAAAAACATAATATGTCTAAATTTTAAGAATATAAATAATTTTATTATTATATATAGCTCATATATGAATTTCATCACTTACTTGTTACGCATTGATACATGTATATCAAAACATACGTGTAATGAGAGGTTGAGAAGCCAAAGAAATACATAGGCAATGGAAATTGATATTGTATAGAGTTTTCTTTGTATATGCCGTAAATCATGATTGCTAAAGGCTCTAACTCAAAAAAGATCAAGCTTATTATTGCTGCCCTAAAAAATGCTGTAAAAGGTAAAAATATTGAAAAAAGATTGTATGTGCTGTATGGTTTTTTTAACTAGTATAAAATGTGTAAAGAAATAAAGAATGTAATAATTATTATTTTAATGGACCTTATATGTATATATTCTAATAGATATTAGCTCATAGTATTTAGACCGCTATTGCATGCCGTTTTTACCATCTCACTTTGTTTTATTTTAACCTGTGTGTGCAAAAATGAATTTATCACATAATGATTTACAAAATCGTTTGCAGCACTCCAATGTGCTATTTGACGTTTGTTAAACGTAAGAGTAATTATGATAACTTGTACTCGGCGAGTGGTAGAACTTGACCATAATGTTGAAATTTTGAGGAAGATATATAAATTTACATTTTTCTAACATTTTTTATTGATAAAACTAAAACTCGTCAGTAGCTACTAAGCCAAAAATAAAAAGAAGACCAGTTGACATACAAAGGAGAAAATGTGTACTAAGTCTAACTATTACTGTATAGATATTATACTATTGTCTGTATAGATATTTAAAACTTTATTTTATATTGGTGCCCAACGTGGGACATGAACCAGTTTTACGTTACAATTTTGTAT